GGTGCCCCTCGGTGCAGCCACCGCCCATCTCTCAGTGGACGTTTGTGGGTTGCCCTGTTGCTGAACAGGTTTTAGAATACCTCCCAGAATAAGATAGAATAGGGGGGAAAGGCCTGGCAATCTCTCCAAAGAACATCCAGTGGAAAATCTTTGAATGGTTGGGATCCCTAACTCACCTCAGGGATGACGCAGGACAGAGCGGGTACACGTTGGGTATGAGGCTGCTGGGCTTTGAGGCCCGCTCATGGCAGCTAACAACAAACAATGAAGTATTTAGTGCTGGGTAAGTCCTGTGCATTATTTCTGCATGCATATGTTTTTTCCCATTTATCCTTTTGCCAAGATTTTTCAAAGATGTCTATTCCATTGATACTGCTTGCTTCCATCTTTCATATCTTCTTCACCCTTGTCTTCACTCCTTCTCTGCAGACGCTCCTGATGCCATCGGGGAGATAAGGGCCTCCCCTGCATCTGCCATTGATTCTCTCTTCAGATGCCCCCAGTGTGCTGTCCAACCCACCCACCTACTTCCTTATCTCACAATGATCCTTTTCATCCCTGATTTCTTCGGTTGGTTCTTCCCCATAATTAAGTCTTCCTGTTTCGTTATCATTCTTTCATTTATCTACTAATCATTTTATTGGGAACTCTTACAGACATATCATTCCATAGTTCAATCACATCAAGCAGTAATATACAATTGCTACCAGAGTCAGTTTCAAAACATCTTCTTTCTTCTTGAACGCCGCGATATCAGCTCCGTTTTATCCCCTCCCTCTCCTACCCTACCCACCAAGAACCCCTTACATTTTTTCCCCTATAATAGATTTTTTTGTTTTGCGATATCTTAATCTAACATACCCATTCACATATAATTCTGTTATTCATTCCTTGAGAGTGAGGTTATACAACGATCAATGCTATTGGCTCCCTATTCCCCACTCTGCCTACCTTCCCGTACCCTCAGGGAACCATTACTCCTGTGACTGTTTCTGAAGGGTTATCTAGCTTGGCTTTCATGTACTGAACAATCTTAAATATACAAATGAACATGCTCAAATCTAACCTAATTAGTGAGGTAAAACAAATAAAAACTATAATAGTAACGGGAGGAAATATTGAAGAGCTAGAGGATAGTTATGTGGTTCCATCTTTTCATAGCCGGGCACCATAAGCTTTCTTCACATTGCTTATGTACCCTTTTTGTCTTCAGTGGTCATGTCAGGAAGGTGAGCATAAAAGACCACATGATTAGAACAAACCATTCTTATACTGAGGCAAGATTTAAGCGGAGGTCCAAAGTCCATCTGCTTCCTTGTCGCATATATATACATATATGAACAAATGCACATATAGCGATATATTTACATATATACATGTATATTATTTCCTATTTTTTTTCCCTTCTGCCCCACTAACATGATTACCCATCGTTCACCTCTCAGTAATTCCTCTTAGATACTATTCGATTGTTCAAATGACCAGAAAAGCTACCCACTCCTTGCCATCAATTTTAGAACCTTTATTATTCCCCTATGCTCATCATTGTTGGCTCCCTGCTCACCCCCCACCCCTCCTTTTTTTATTTTGCTGTGGAACTTATTACCCCATTTCTTAGATTTGTTGTTCTGTTCCATTATCTCTTTGTCCTCTGGTGTAGGAGGTTGAGCTTATTCTCTTTCTTAGTCTTGGGGTTCCTCACTTATCTTAACGTCTTTGTCTTTACCTCCTTGAGCTTCAGGTTGCCGTGGCTCTTACCTCTACCTGAAGGTTGAAGTAAAAAGCTGAGAGCCATGCACCTGCTGATACCTCTAGTCCTAAATTTTAATCTTAACCCCACCTCGGTCCACTAGGTACATTTTGTGTCCTGAGACTTTTTCAGGTTAAAACTAGTTTCTACCAGTCAACTCCACCTCATGGCAACCCATGTGAATTGGAGCTGTACCCTTGTGTTAGACAGGGTTCTCTAGAGAGATAAAACCAAATTCCTGATAATATAATATATTTATTTATAAAGATAATTAGATATATAAC